GATTTCTTTAATCAGGGCATTAACAACCTGATTGTAAGATGGAAAAGCATCATCGATAAGAATGACGTTATGTTACATTGTTTTCTGAATGGAGAATTATAAATTTCTCCATTAGAACAAGTTTCATTCCCACAAAAAAGTTAACTACTAGCTTAGATGAATTTGTAACAGCTCTTGTCACATAGTTAGAAAGCCAGGAAAATTGTCTGCTTTTTGCATGTTCTTATTCTATGTTCTTTGGTGCATTACTTAATTAAATAAAAATTCTTTAGCACATTACTATCATTAACAATAAAAAGTATGCTTAAGTGTAACCAACAGTAGACATAATAAAAAAAAACAACTTGCGTAAGTACTTTATTTCTTGTTTTTCATGTCTATTCTTTATTTATTACTATTACAGAAGTTACTAAAATGTAAAAATAGTAATCTCTTTAGGTTAGATTAGGTAAAATAAATAATAATACTATAATAAAATGTTTCACGAGGCATGCATGCAAGCAGCTCGTGTGCAAAAATTCAATAGCATAATGTGACCTCCCCATTTGAAACATTTAAATTGTATTTAGAAGGATTTAGAGATTACACAAATGAAATTGAGATTTGAGATGAAGAAAAGTATTTTTAATCTTAACATGAAAGTCACTTTGCATACAGAAAATTCAAAACAAATAGCATTGAAATACTAGATATATTCAGGGACAAATTTGTTTTTTAGTTTATTAATAATACTTCATTAAAAAATTTGTTTACTGAAAGACTGCCAATTTTCATGAAGATATACACACACACACTATATTAAAATATTAAAAGTTAGTATAAAAGCTATAAAGATTTTAAGAGTTCAAAGATGTCACATGGTTGGTCAAATTAACCGAGGCCATATTGAGAGTTAAAGCAATAAATATGTAAATTTTCGGTTATAAATTATATATAAAAATAGGATGTAAAGTACAGTTCGTATAAACTTTAGCAATTAACCTGATACTTTGTAGTGTGACAGACAAACACTAGGAGTTTTAGAGAAGTCAGTGACTAGATATTCTAAATGCAACTCCACTGATTACTCTTGTTCGTCATAAGTTTACTGTAGAGTATAAAAATAGAAACTGAAAGACTGAGGACTATTTTGCATTTAGTTGCAATTTGTACATAATTTATACATGCACTACTTATTATCAGTTTTATTCTATTACTACAAATATGGCTTGTGCTATTCAAGTTTAAAACCAAAAAGTCAATTTGCTAACTATACTTAATGTTATTCTATAAATATAAACCTTACCTTTTCCAGCAAATACCTTCCACACTTGTTGGAGGCCATTAGAAAAAAGATTGTGGCCATAAACATTGTTACTAGACATGCAAGCAGAGATGACAAATGGAAATATGTCTGTACTTGAACCTGAATCACAAATAGATTAATTAGTTTATATGCTAATTATAACCTGTTTTTAAAAATACTAACTAATCTAAACACTTGCTACACTGTTTCATAATGACTGGTTTTATACCTAAAGAATAACAAAATTACACATTCAATAAACTTATGTATTAATGTTTGCTGCCTTTAGTAAATCTGGCTATGATTGTTGGTAGAACTTTATTCCATAGATATATCTAGGTTCACAGAAATCTTTGAAATACAGGATGAAGCAAAAATCCTGCACCACAATGACATTTCCAAGTCTTACCTTTACTAAGTCATGCTTACTTCACTAACTTTCTTTGTAAAATAATTGGTTGGAGATGTCAGCCTCATTTTTGATAAAGTGACATTGGGCTATCTGCTTTGTCCACAAGGGGGAATTGAATTCTACACTTTAGCATTGGAAGTCCATAAACTTATAGCTGTCCAACTGGAGGACAAAAGTATGAGTGAAAAAGATCCTGTTGCATGGCAATCCTAGACTTAGTCAGCAGCAAGTCTTAATAGAACTTAATCTAAGGAATCCTGGATACCAGTGTCCTTTGTCTTACCCAACTGTAGGTATTTTGATTTCAATACTAAAAAACAAACAACTTTGTTCTGTTGTTAATCATAAACTCATAAGAAGACTTTACACTGCAATGAAAGAGGACCTTTCAACCAAAAACTCCGTGAAGCATGTTCTAGGTTTCCATCCCTATAATTTGTACATATCCCAGAAAATAATGCAAACTACAATATAGAGGTTTGTGAATATTTCATGGCCATGGTACAGGAATAACTTTTGCCTCATTCGTAGAAACAAGTTAGCCCACCAGGTAACCTTGCACTTTTCCAATGTATAGGAAATCATGGATTAGTTGCATAACCTGCATGTTCTCTCTCTTTTTTGAAGTGGAATATGAGATGCAACCTGACAAGTTACACTGTGTCACGATACAAACAAGTTACACTGTGTCACGATACAAACAAGTTACACTGTGTCACGATACAAACAAGTTACACTGTGTCACGATACAAACAAGTTACACTGTGTCACGATACAAACAAGTTACACTGTGTCACGATACAAACAAGTTACACTGTGTCACGATACAAACAAGCAGATTTCACGTAGTTGTAAGAGCTGGACTTAAGAAATAATGAAGGTGTGTGACTTGTACAAGACAAAAATTAAAACATTTCCTAATCAGACATATTTTTACTATGCATTGAAAATAAAATAAAGATTACAATGTTGTTAGTTCATTATTAAAATGGTGATTAAGGTATTGAAATATCACTTTAGTAAATTTTGGTGGATTTTTTTTTATTATTATTAATTACAGTTTGAAGGTTTCCAAGAAACGAATCTTCAAAGAACAAGCTACTTTATACTTTAAATATTCTGTCTCTGAAGCTTAAAAGTTAGTTTTTAGTATATTATTAACCAGCAGCTAACCAACTACAAAGCATGACTTACATGACAAATATGTACAAGTTACAAAAAAAAAGTATATGAAAGAACTGGTTAACCTCATAAATATTAAAAAAAATTCAGCTTACTGGTCTTTCTTTCAGATAATTGAAGCCAAACATCTGACTACGTAGCACCACAGAACGATCACTTCCCAAAAATGGAATACACCAGCCATTAACAACATCACTCTTGAAAAGAACTCCTCTGAAATATACTCAAACAAATCAGATATTTATATAACAGATTCCAAGTATAATCTTGTATTTCTCAAGCAAAAAAAAAATTTCTTTTATCACTTTCTTGTTACAAAGGAGAACTCCCATATTCAAATGAAAAATCTATTCTAGCTAGGATATATTCCAAAATTGTTGACCAAGAGCTCTTACAAACTTCTCCCACTTTGTACTATAACTTGCAATGGTACACCTGCATGTACACAGAATTCAATATTGAGACAATCATAGAAGGGAAACTGAGAAATACAAGAGATTCACTTTTGAAAGTATTTTTAACTCACCGGCGCTTCAGAGGGAAATTACTTTTTGGCAGTGGTTCCTGGAAAAGAGTATCATTCAGTTGTTTCCTCAAACTTTTAAGCTCAGAAGCATGAGCCAAGCCATAAATAGCTGATTGCCAAGTTCCAAAGTTGACTTTTGATCCCTATGAAAAATATATGAACACATACATTTATATGATGCCAAATAAACAAGTTGGCCTTTGTTTCAAACCTACAATTAAAGACAGATTAATTTTGGAAAAAACATCAAATTTGAAAACAACCAACTACAAAGACAATAAAATCATATTAAACTATTAATGCAAACACAAAAGATCAAAACAAACAAGTAATTCCAGAAGGTTTGGGTTGGTTGGATTAGACAGACATTTGGCACTATTTTTGAGGTCTTGGTCACCGGACCTGACCCACGACAATGAGAACCAACATGCAGAAGTTAACTTGTAAATGTAAAGTAAAACGATGTAGCAGTGAAACATGCTTGAAATGTTCTAGATGTGGTTGTGAATGTGATGGTTTAAGTGTAGCAATTAAGCTAAGCTGTGGGTCCAGGTCACATGGGAGAATAACATTTAAAGACATCTCAATCAATTTGACATACCAGCTAAATTGAAGAATCGTCAGTTGATTACTGCATTGACAGCGAAACAAAAAATGAGCCCAATAATATTGTTATCTTCAAAGAAGGGACTGGAATCATAAGAAATCATTAGTTTCAATATTTTGTGAAACTAACAGCACAGTAAAGCCCAAAGATGCAGCGTTAAAGTTGAAGCAGATGCACAATGCATTATAAGGTGATGTCCCTAGCGATTCTCAAATTAAAAATTGCCATTTATGCAATGAAGAGTAAATATAAGAAGGATGGTATAATGCCCAGTATGGTACCACCATAGTACAATTCATATACATTTCATCATGTCATATTTTCGTTAACAGTTTTATTATTATTATTATTATTATTATAGAAGTTGTGCCAAGCTTCATTCATCGAGATCTACCAAAATAACCCTAAATCACCAGTTTCTGGAATAACCACCATAGGCTCAGTACAAAAAGATGCTGGGCTGGCTTGTGTGGAAGCTGTTAAGATCAAATTTGTTAAGCTTTGATATATGTGGAATTAGCTTGTGTTGTTCAATTTTAAGATGCATTTATTTTCTTCTTTTTTTTCTTTCTTACATAACGAAATAATGGGGATTTTTACCTAAGTTTTATTCAACAAACAATAATGCATTCAGCATAATTTAAAAAGAATAATGATTTGTAAAATTATGTTGGAAATTAATGGGAAAAGTTTTTTTTGCCTACAAGATTTCTTGTGATGTATATAATTTATGTTAAAAATAAAAACCATCTTATTTGTTAACATTTTATCAAAGCCATATGTAAAATTTAATACAAAATAAAAAAAATTACAGAACAAATTCCTATGGCTAGATTTAATTGAAAATATTTTAAATAAAATTGTAGGTTAATAATAAAATGAAATCATTGAAACCTATAAATACATGTGCAACTACTTACTAGCTAATTATTAAAAAAAAAATTGTAAAATATTATTCACATTAGTTACTCTATTATAAACACTAGAATTTTACCTTAGGTCCATTCTTGAGACTCATAAAAGTTTCCACTGAATTGACATCACCTTCAAACAAATAAATGATTTGAGTTTTTTAAATGTTACAAACAGTGCTGAAAATTAAAAATGATTGGTTCAAATTGTTTCTTTTTCACTTAAATAAATACTGTGAAAACTGGTAATATAAATATAGTTTGTTTGAGAGACAATTACTTTCTTCAAAAATATCAAGAGAATGAAATATCAGCAAGTAAATTGAAAGAATCTATGTACACAATTAAGAGCAGGTTAAACACAAAAACCCAAAAATACAGCTAGTCAGGTCAAATTTTAAGTGTCTTAAATGCTTGTATTTCACAACTATATTCACTATATAGTCATATTAGTCATTGTCCTATTTATGGTGTTTTACAAGTATATTCGTTAATTTTATGGATTAATGCACATTTGAAAATCATTAAAAAAACAACTTTTGTACTCCTATATTTAAACTTTTCAGTGTGCATTTAGCTATGAATTATCTTTAAAATGACACTATACATTGTCAGAAATATACTGTGATTTATCTTCAATACACAAAAATTAACAGCAGGTTGAATGCAATCCACGAGTACTAAACCATACTTTTCCACATGAATGTGTAACAATAGCTAATAATCTGTAGAAGTGCCAACTTACCAACAGTTGGATGAGTGAGACAGGTTAAATGTAATTTTTACTGGTGCCTGTCAAGTTCCTTGTAGTTTATCACAGACAATAAACTTGTATTTGGCATGTTTTGTCTTTACTACTTATACGTACAGTCTGCAAGTATGATCAGTTTTTATGCTGCATACAGGGTTAAATGAACAAACATTAACCCTCTCATTAAGGGCCCGATCCCTGGGACCAACCTCAACCATTTTGTGCTTGTTATAGTTTTCATGCTATAGCTTTTAAATTATTAAATGCATCTTCACGAAATTTAGCAGATTATCAGTAAACATTACAAGGCTTTTGTACACAAAATATCAGATTTTTTTTTTTAATGAAGTCTTAAGGTTTTGGTTTTAAGTAATGTTCTTCTAGTGCTTTTTTTCTTTTCGAATGTTGACTATCCAACATGCAAAGTAACTTTCATTTTAAGATTAAAAATACTTTTATACACCAGAAAATTTTCAAATTTCACATACAAATTCTTTATAACCTCCATATAATTATCAAAAGTACATGTTACCAGCTTGAAGTATTGTATCAAAAGAACAAGTTGAAATCATAATACTTCAAAATGGCTGAGAAATTCACTAGGGGACATTCTGAGCTTTCAATTGGTTATTCACGTCATAGGCAGAAGTATGTGTGTATGATGAAGTATTTCCAAAAATGGAAAGAGGTGGGCAGTGCCACTGTGTTTAATTCACCATGAGCAATATCTCCGCAAATAAAAAAGATAAGAGGTTCTTATTTTATATTCTAGCTTGTTAATATTTGTAATTTCAGTTTCTAATTTGTATGAAACTATACACTTAGTATTTTAACTTCACAAACATCTAATTTGAACCAGTGCTGCATTCAACATACCACATGCCACACAAAAATTGATATTTAGGCATGTTTTTTAATATATATTTAAATTAAGAAATTAAATGCATAATATTATAATTCAAATTTTAATATCATACCAAACTTACTGACATAAAATAGTTCAATAAAATTTTGAATGTGAGTCAACAAACGCGATGACATGGCCTTTGACTCATATGGAGAGGGTTAATACAGTGTGTGTATCTTCACAAATTTGGCAGACTTTTAGTACATGTTACTAGTATTTTGTACACCAAAAATAAGTTTTTTAAATGAAGTACTTTTATTAAAGATTTGTTCGTGAATATATTGAGTATTTGTTTTGAATAGTCCATGTGCAAAGTGATTTTCATGTTGAGATTAAAAATACTTTTCTTCATCTCAAAAATCTCAGATTTGACTTGTGTAATCTCTAAAACCTCCTAAATACATTTCAAATGTTTGTTTTCACTAAAACTTTATTTCATCTGTTATTTTCTCTACCCTAACTGTATACAAGGTTAGTCAATTTGACCGACCTCCTAAAAAATAAAACAATCTAAACTACCACTTTTTTTCTTTCTAGAATTACTTCAAATTGTAACATGAAACTACATTCATTTATCCTAAGTAGCTTTAAACTCGTTATAGTATATGTCTATTTATAATTAAATTTTATTGTTTTATTACCCTTTGAATTGTGTCTATCTACTACTCATGGCATTAAAAGTTGTAAATCACTTGGGGAACATGGAGATCACATTACACTGTTGAATTAAGTTACCCACGAGCTGCTTGCATGTGTGCCTCATGAAACATTATCATATTATTATCAATTTTCCTAATTTAACCTAAAGATATCCCTATTTTTTACATTTCAGTAACTTTTATGATAATAAATAAATAAAGTACTTACCCGATTCTTTTTATTTCTTGTTGACATTTACCCCCCCCCCCTTTTTATTATTATTATTATTATAAATAATACTAATGGTAGTAATGCACTAAATGATTTTTATTTAATTAACCCCTTACCTACCAGGACCATTGTTTTAACATAAGAGCAAAATCACATTTGTGCATGGGATGTGTGTGACTATGATTTTTGTATAGTAGCTTAAATCATGCTATACATATATTTATATTAATCATTATATTGAAAGATTAACTCAAAACAGATATAATTTTAGGAAAGAAATTGATCTAAGAATGTTAGGATTAAGATGTATCGAGCAGTGAGTGCATGGTCTTTACGTGAATTAGGCTTAGCAATTTGAACTGAAAGTGTTTGTGATTTTTATATTCTTTTGCATTTAAATTAGTGGTTTTAAGTTCAATAATTTATATCTAGTTCATTATAAAAAATATGATTCATTATTTCGAATGATAACCTTGTGTGATTTGTACATACTACTTCTACTAGTGTGTGTGTGTGTGTGTGTGTGTGTGTGTGTGTGTGTGTGTGTGTGTGTGTGTGTGTGTGTGTGTGTGTGTGTGTGTGTGTGTGT